ATTCATTCATTCATCCATCATCATCATCATTCATTCTCATCAATCATTCATCCATTCATCCATCCATCCATCCATCCATCCATCATCATCATCATCATCATTCATTCATTCATCCATCATCATTCATTCATTCGTTCATTCATTCATTCTCATCATTCATCCATCATCATCATTCATTCATTCATTCATCCATCCATCCATCCATCATCATCATTCATTCATTCATTCATTCATTCATTCAACCATCCATCATCATCGTCATTCATTCATTCATATCAATCATTCATTCATTCATCATCATCATCATCATCATCATCATCATCATCATCATCATCATCATCATCATTCATTCATTCATCCATCCATCCATCCATCCATCCATCCATCCATCATCATCATCATCATTCATTCATTCTCATCAATCATTCATTCATTCATCATCATCATCATTCATTCATTCATTTTCATCAATCATTCATTCATCATCATCACCATTCATTCATTCTCATCATTCATTCATTCATCCATCATCATCATCCATTCATTATCATCATCATTCATTCATTCATTCATTCATTCGCATCAATCATTCATTCATCATCATCATCATCATTCATTCATTCATTCATTCATTCATTCATCCATCATCATCCATTCATTATCATCATCATTCATTCATTCATTCATTCATTCTCATCAATCTTTCGGTCATTCATCATCATCATCATCATCATCATTCATTCATTCATTCATTCATTCATTCTCATCAATCATTCTCATCAATCATTCATTCATTCATCATCATCATCATTCATTCATTCATTCATTCATTCATCATCATCATCATTCATTCATTCATTCATTCATTCATTCTCATCAATCATTCTCATCAATTATTCATCATCATCATCATCATTCATTCATTCATTCATTCATTCTTTCTCATCAATCACCATTCATTCATTCATTTATCATCATTCATTCATTCATTCATTCATTCTCATTCATTCATTCATTCATTCTCATCAATCATCATCATTCATTCATTCATTCATTCATTCATTTATTCTCATCAATCATTCATTCATCATCATTCTCATCAATCATTCATTCATTCATTCATTATCATCATCATTCATTAATTCATTCATTCATTCTCATCAATCATCATCATTCATTCATTCATTCTCATTAATCATTCATTCATTCATTCATTCTCATCAATCATCATCATTCATTCATTCATTCTCATTAATCATCATCATTCATTCATTCATCATCATCATCATTCATTCATTCATTCATTCTCATCAATCATTTCATCATCATCATTCATTCATTCATTCATTCATTCTCATTAATCATTCATTCATTCTCATCAATCATCATCATTCATTCATTCATTCTCATTAATCATCATCATTCATTCATTCATTCATCATCATCATTCATTCATTCATTCTCATCAATCATTTCATCATCATCATCATCACCATTCATTCATTCTCATCAATCATTTCATCATCATCATCATCATCATCACCATTCATTCATTCTCATCAATCATTTCATCATCATCATTCATTCATTCATTCATTCATTCATCCATCATCATCCATTCATTATCATCATCATTCATTCATTCATTCATTCATTCTCATCAATCTTTCAGTCATTCATCATCATCATCATCATCATCATCATTCATTCATTCATTCATTCTCATCAATCATTCTCATCAATCATTCATTCATTCATCATCATCATCATCATTCATTCATTCATTCATTCATTCATCATCATCATCATCATCATCATCATTCATTCATTCATTCATTCATTCATTCTCATCAATTATTCATCATCATCATCATCATTCATTCATTCATTCATTCATTCTTTCTCATCAATCACCATTCATTCATTCATTCATTCATCATCATTCATTCATTCATTCATTCATTCTCATTCATTCATTCATTCATTCTCATCAATCATCATCATTCATTCATTCATTCATTTATTCTCATCAATCATTCATTCATCATCATTCTCATCAATCATTCATTCATTCATTCATTATCATCATCATTCATTAATTCATTCATTCATTCTCATCAATCATCATCATTCATTCATTCATTCTCATTAATCATTCATTCATTCATTCATTCTCATCAATCATCATCATTCATTCATTCATTCTCATTAATCATCATCATTCATTCATTCATCATCATCATCATCATTCATTCATTCATTCTCATCAATCATTTCATCATCATCATCATTCATTCATTCATTCATTCATTCTCATTAATCATTCATTCATTCATTCATTCATTCTCATCAATCATCATCATTCATTCATTCATTCTCATTAATCATCATCATTCATTCATTCATCATCATCATTCATTCATTCATTCTCATCAATCATTTCATCATCATCATCATCATCATCACCATTCATTCATTCTCATCAATCATTTCATCATCATCATTCATTCATTCATTCATTCATTCATCATCATCACCATTCATTCATTCATTCTCATCAATCATTTCATCATCATCATTCATTCATTCATTCATTCATTCATTCATTCATTCATCATCACCATTCATTCATTCATTCTCATCAATCATTTCATCATCATCATCATTCATTCATTCATTCATTCATTCATTCATTCATCATCATCACCATTCATTCATTCTCATCAATCATTTCATCATCATTCATTCATTCATTCATTCATTCATTCTCATTCATTCATCCATCATCATTCATTCATTCATTCATTCATTCATCCATCCATCCATCCATCCATCCATCCATCCATCCATCCATCCATCTTCATCATTCATTCATTCATTCATTCATTCATTACCATTCATTCATTCATTCTCATCAATCATTTCATCATCATCATCATCATCATTCATTCATTCATTCATTCATTCATTCATTCATTCATCATCATCACCATTCATTCATTCTCATCAATCATTTCATCATCATTCATTCATTCATTCATTCATTCATTCTCATTCATTCATCCATCATCATTCATTCATTCATTCATCCATCCATCCATCCATCCATCCATCCATCCATCCATCCATCTTCATCATTCATTCATTCATTCATTCATTCATTACCATTCATTCATTCATTCTCATCAATCATTTCATCATCATCATCATCATTCATTCATTCATTCATTCATTCATTCATCATCATCACCATTCATTCATTCTCATCAATCATTTCATCATCATCCTCATTCATTCATTCATCAACATCATTACCATTCATTCATTCTCATCAATCATTTCATCATCATCATTCATTCATTCATTCATTCATTCATTCATTCATCATCACCATTCATTCATTCTCATCAATCATTTCATCATCATCATCATTCATTCATTCATCAACATCATTACCATTCATTCATTCTCATTCATTCATTCATTCATTCATTCATTCATCATCATCATCACCACCATTCATTCATTCTCATCAATCATTTCATCATCATCATCATTCATTCATTCATCAACATCATTACCATTCATTCATCCTCATTCATTCATTCATTCATTCATTCATCATCATCATCATCATCATCATCATCATCATCATCATCATCGTAACTGGGTTGGTCAATACAGTATTCCATGTGCGTTGTATTTTTTTAGGTACATAATATATAAAGTAATTATTTTGTCCTTACATGTTATTTAATTATATTATGAGAGGGAGAGAGGTTTTATGATCACCAGAAACACGTTTAGGGCCTTTAAATTGATTAGGGATAGGTTATAATATTGAATATTACATGGTAAATGATAATTCGGAAAAGTGTATTCGCCATTTTGCTCTTTCGCTGTAATATCAGAAACGTAACCCCCGTGAAAAACGAGGCACCTTTGTGCATTGTATATCATAAAATAAATCAATGTACATGTTTAAAAATGTAATTTTGATTCATAAGATGTGCTTGTATTACTTTTTTTTGCTGAAAAAGTTTCTTTAGGAATGCATCTCGAATTATATAATGAAAGTCAGTGGAAAAATGTGGTTGACGTCAAGGAATTTCACATTACGGTTAACTTTTCAAGGATGCAACAAGCTATCTCGCAGGGCACCTCATCCTGAGTTTTTCCCTACTTCCCAGTGAGTCATGCTATTGCTAAACCAAATTTTGACCCAATATTAAGTGAGAAAAGGTGTCAAATTATTTTGATTGCTAAATAGAATTAACTTTAAGTGAATTAACACTAAATGAGGGATACCTGTATGAGTCTATTCAATTTGGAATCAGCCTGCACACTTTATTTTGTTATATGGAATGACTTCTGTATACTGAACTTAGGTAAAGCGAGGGATACCTCTGAGTCTTCACCTCTCAACTTGCATAATATTTACTTGATTGTTGTTGTTCAATGTTTAATTTAATTTTAATATTAATACAGTACAGTATGTTGGAAAATTCCTAGTCCAGTAACTTAGTGCCCCATTGTACAGAACTAAGCAAAATATGCAGTATAATTTTTTTTTATTGTATCCCAACTTCTTTTGATAGAAAAAATAAAACTCTGATTTGCAAGTTGAAAAGTTATGCCCTCTAGAAATATGTACAGTACAGGTAGTTAGAAGAAAACCTTAATACCTGTACAAATTTTGTTTGATGTCTGTTGATTGAACTTTGTATTCACAGTAAATTGATGTCAATCTGTGTGGAGGCTAAGGATTTACTTTGTGTACTGTGTATGAGTGTTGAGGATATGAAATGTGGATTTGGAATATCATTGTTTGGCTTGTCCAAGGTTCATAATTTTCTACACATCTTGCAACACACTCCTTTACTGTTTTGCAATCCACACACACATATGCGCACACGCACACACACACACACACACACTAGATTGCATATACATCTTGAAGGTTTACAAAATTTTGAGTTTATTTTTTATTTTTTTTTTAGAAAGAAATCTCTCTTACCTGAAGAAGAGTTTACAATACCAGGATATTATGATTGGCTGTCTCAGAAGATGCAACAGCCACTGAAAGCTACCACTTTCCACATGGTGTCCCAAATCCAAGAGGAAAAATGTCACAGTGAAAGTTACTTGTCACATAATGATGAAGAACCCCTCAGGAATGACGCCCACACTGATGGCAGTGTTGCTTTCATGACAGGTAACTCTATCAGTTATTGTTGGTAATTGTTCATATTATACAGCAGTAGTCGACATGTTGCTAACCTCTTTTTGGAAGTTACCTGTAAACAGTAAACCAATGATGCGAATTGGCAAAACCTTAGTGCACTACTGTATACCTATACTGTGTATGAGAAACCTAAGTCACCAAAACTACTTACCTTCGTATGTGGAAGTTTGGAGCTTGATGAAGTGTACTGTACAGTAGGATGAAATCTCGTTATTGAAGCATTGGGGGATCATCAATGTTTTCAAGGAGTTTTATCTTTACAGTAATTAAATTTGGCATTAAAGTAAGACAACTGGGTATCCTTAACAGTTATATAAGGATTTATTTGCGATATATCAATATTAATCAAACAATATCTATGAGCCAATGAGCTGGAAGTACATTAACTGCAAAGGTTGGGGGACTTCTTAGCCTATTACCGTCAGCCCCCCCAAAAAATCCTATATGAAACAAGAATATGAGGAAAGAACAAAAATTGCCCAACATATACAGTGGTATCCCCGTTAGTCGGAACAATTGGTACAGAGTGAAGGTTACAAGTGTTCCCTGAAGAATGCAGTGATGGGTAGGGAAACACTGGGTAACACTGAAGTCCATTTATTTATGGATAAGAGAATTACAAGTGGTGACTAGCGTGTGCCAAGCACGGTTCACACAGTCAGACTGAGACTGCCTTGCCATATGGCAGCCTCGGGGCAATGTTGCCACATAACACGTGCAGTGTTGCCACGTAATTATATACATAGGTGCTACTCGGCACAGTAGCTTATATACAAGGTTGCTACTCGGCACAGTAGCTTAGATACATAACCTACACAGAGCACTTCCGAGGAAGAGAGATTTCCGCCTAACCGGACGACTTTCTCAAACCCGGAAAAATCCCCCATTCTCGGAAATATTTTCCATTACTGAAAAATTTATCCGAGTATCTAAACTATACATCTTGCACAGACAAACACTAGCCCACATCCTCAGAATGTTTCTGTAAGCTGGGAAGTTTTCAAAGAGTTTAAACTAAAATTCTATATGATATGGTTGTGAATGAAGCTGTGTTACAGCAAGGACTGGTAATTTCCACTCTCTTGGAGCTGTGGGGAATTAGTGGGTCTTGAGCAACTGAACTGAACTGACCTGACCTGACGCAATATCAGCTGGAGGTAGGGTGGGGTATTAGTGATCTCATATTACTGACCTTCTGATACAATGTCAGGTCACCCTTTGTCGGGTGGGGGTTTAGTGAGTCTGAGGGCCTGAAGATGTCTTGAATAAACATGAAAGCTAAAATACAGTATTTTTTATACATACACTTATCACATTATATCCCTTCAACATTATGGTACATAAGATTTTATAATATTGAGTGAGAAAGCAGAAAGGTGTGGGTAATTACTACAGCCTAATTAGAGAGACGGAGTGGAAAGTAGTGGTAACATGTGTGGGGTATGGGTTGTTTGTTCGGACTCAGGATGGGATGGAGAAAGGAAACCCACAATGTGCTCTCTGTATACATGTTGTATTGGATGTACAATGCAGCTTGGTGCTGGGAAGTGGCAGTGTGGTTACAAGCGTGATGTAGAGAGAGCTGGTTGGTGAGGATGCTCAGAGAAGGACAGCTTGTGGGTTGCCATGTTCGCCGGCAGGAGCGAGGGCCGCCAGGCAGCGGCGGAGGAGGTGGTGGTGTTGCTTGCTGCGGCTGTAGCTAGAAGAAGAGAGAGGTCACAACGAGGTCAGGTCTTTTATAGCGGAGGCAGGCGTGGGTGGCTCTGGTTGACCCAGACCACGAGGCATACATTGAGGAATTTGCGGGGTCGGCTACTCAGCGACAAACAGCGTTTGTAGGGGAGAAATCCACTATACAGTACTCCCTCTTTATCGACGGGGGTTACGTTCTGTAGACGGCCGTCGATAAAGAAACCGTCGATACCGTGATGGTTACGTAATTTTTCTAACTATTATTAGCATATGTTGAATAAATGTACCTTTAAGCATTAATGCGTTTCCTTTACACATAACCTTAAATAATAGTGTATAAATAATAATATAATAAGTGGACAAAAATACTAGCAAACTTACGATTTCATTTATTGAAGTGAACATCGGTCCTTACAGTAAACAATACAGTGTACCACCAGCAAAAGTTGAAAATCAAAGACTGTTGCCCACGCGGCTTGGCTGATGTCTGTGTTCAGGGAAGGCGGGCTGCGGGTAGACGCTAGTCACGCCACTAGTGCCGCCTAGCGGCGAAAGTACAAACAAGGCCCGCAGAGTTCAAATAAAGCCAAAATAAAAATCCGTCTAAATAATCTGTCGATAATCGAAACCGTCGATAAAAAATCCGTCGATAAAGAGGGAGTACTGTACATGCACCAGTGTTGCCAAGCGCTAAGCTCCTCAACAGCTGATCTTTTAATTCACCACCACGTAGTTTACCACACAAATTTATGTCATACAATATAGGGGTGTGTGGGTGGTGTTAGGGTGTCTGGGTGTGATGTTGTGGTATTAATTAATAAATAAGCAATATTGTATCGTCAATGACAGTCGTTTGATGAATAGTAGCGTACTACAATTGTCACTACTATTCATCAAACTACTGTACTGTCATTAACAACACAATATTGTTTATTTATTATTCATTAACTAATAACCTAAGACCACATCATACACACACACAACATCTAGTTTACAGTCTTTTGTGTGAGACACTGAGTTGAAGGAAGACAGGGAGGCACGGTGGGGGCTTCTTATGGTGTATGTTTTATCATGGTTAATATAAAATATTAAACACATTAAGCACAAACTATTATGGTAGACATATCTTTAATTAATTAATAAATAAAAAACAACAAAGGAAAACATGGAGGGGAGTAGGGGAGAGGCAGGAACCTTTTTGGGGGGTGTGCGGTCAGTTCCCTCCCTCCTCGAACCTCCAACACAAGAGGACCCGGGAACATGATGCAATATTTTGTCATTTTTCTATACATGTTATAGCGCAGTTCATATAAGGAACAATAATCATCCCATAGATTGGGAAAAAAGTTCTGGAGTGTATAAATCATCTTGGAAAGATTCTGGTTGAAGCAAGTTTGATTCAGGAAATGAATTTTATAAACTTAGTAATGGTCAGTACAAAACTGATAATATGTTACACAAATTATTTGTCAGTGACTCAAGGTTTAAAAATGCTTTGAAAGCATTTGAGGTAGATGTAGGATAGAAGATTAATGGAACTCATATCTTTGATCTCATTTGAGTTGACTAGTTACGTCGCCCATTCTTATAAGCTCCTCTTATGTTTGCGATGGTGGTGGTGTGTGGATTAGTGGATGTCATGTGTTTGACCTGACCTCATGTTTTGTAAGGTCAACCTGTGTACATAAGCGTCTCTCAGTCTGTCCTTGTAATTCAGTTGCCTCTGAAGATATCTTGAATAAAGACGAAAGCTAAGGTGCTCCATTTTTCCCCTTTTTCCTGTGTGATTTTATCAAGATGTTATAGCACAGTATTTAATATTTTATATTTTCAATGATAAAACATACATTATAAGTGGCTGATCCTACGAGAATATATACAGGTAATATAATAAATGTTGGAGGGTGTGTGGTGGAGGTGTGTAATGCTGTACAGTCGGCCCTTAACATACGCGGGGTTTAGGTAACAGAGATACCCGTGAATGTTAAAATCCGTGTACTATTGCTGCCCCCCGTGAAAAACCCTGGCCCCCCATGTCCTTATTTACCGTATATACCTGTGTGTAGTTCGAGTTTTTAAGACCAAATTATTCGGCAAAAAATTGGGGGTCGACCTCTAAACTGGTAATAGTTTTGTTAGGTTGAAAAATATTTACCATTAACTACCAGTAAACAATGGAAATGACACATCAACGCACACACCAGCTGTGAGTGTCGGTACAGTTGCCAGGGCAGATCTCTTGCGTCATCATAGCAAGCCCAAAGTAGCCAAATCCATGGTATGGTATGCACAGTTCGATGTAAAACATAAAGTATTAATTTTTTAAAGTTTATTTATAGATACTGTACATAAATTTTTGTTCATTACATTTGAAACATCAATCTTTGTTAATTAAATTTGAAACAAAGAAAACTATGATTCCGTATTTTCATTAAAATATTATATCACAAGTATATTTTACCTTAACTGTGACTGAATGAATATATTCTCAGAAATAAATATGGAAATGTAATATTTTGGCTGAAATGACGTACATATTACAGTGGAAAGTGGGATAAAATCATGACGAAAACAATGACTTTCGCTTTCTTTCGTTGTTCAAAAGATTTTACCGTAATCGCTTTTCGAATGGTTTTCAGTTAAAAAACTGTTGTACTGTATTACAATAATATTCTATCCTATCATTAGCCTCATAATCCCACAACTGAAAACCATTTGAGAAGCGATTACGGTAACATCTTTTGAACGAAAGAAAGCGAAAGTCATTGCTTTCGTCACAATTTTATCCCACTTTCCACTGTAATACGTACATCATTTCAGTAAAAATATTACATTTCCATATTCTCAGAAATAAATAGTAGTTGTGTTGAAATGTAATGTACAGTATTTAATATTAAAATGCAAAAAGAGCTATAAAAACAATTAATACTGTACACCCGTAATGTACTGGGTGGCATTTCCACTCGTCACCACTCCTCCTCGCTCTATCCATCCGCCTCCTCCACATCGTCACGACTGTTGTATTACAATAATATTCTATCCTAATTCATTTGAATAAATACTACGATACCATATTTCTGAATATTTTCATTAAAATCCTTCAAAATCATTTTCCTTGTCATCGTTTTCAGCTCCAAACAGGTCCTCACAGTCTTCTCCTTGAATAGGGCTAGAGGGTACGTGTTTTTCGAATCGTTTTCAGTTAAAAAAATGTTACATCACATGTATATTTTACCTAAACTGCACCTGAATGAATATATTCTCAGAAATAAATAGTA